AGGCTTGTGTAAGTCACTGAAATAGATGCTGCTTGGTTTGCTGCATCTGATAGACGAATAAGCAGAAATATAAAAAACCGACCGTATGCGGTTTTTGTTCGGTGTGAATAATTTTATGACGACAGAGCGTTGAAGCCTGACGAAATGCTTTACCACAAACCTAAAATAAACTTGAAACTGAATATAATGAATGGAAATGATTCTTAAATACATTCTCTAGAGTTGTTTACCCATCTCACTGATAGGTAATCATTCGAAAAGATATATAAAATGCAAGTGAAATAAGATGGAATCTGATATAAACCTTGCATGCAAATGGCCTAGCGCCTGTATGTACAGGCATATGCCTAGTTAAATTGTAATGCGCATTAAAAATTTTGCCACAGTCTTTGCATTCGAATGTTTTACGTTTGTCATCGCTCGATAATGATCCACCACTACCATTACGATCGACAGCAGTGCGTCTGTCATCGAGTTTAGTTGCAAAACTATTGAAATTACTATTATTATTGTTGTTATCGCTGTCACTGATAGTACTAACAGTAACGGAACCAGAAATACTAATCCAGGATGAGCTTGGCGATGCATCTTTACAGAAGTTCAACGCATCAACTTGAGCTGTCAAATCGGCAGCATATTCTGAAAAAAACGAAAGAACTTTCTATTAATAACAAGCAAATGACATCATCAACCGTCAGAAAGGGAAAAATGGTCACATTTTTAACAGTGAGGAAATTATCGACCTTCGAAGCCACGCTGGAGAAGATTTTAGTGTAGAAAGAGGGGTAACTTTAATTTCATACGTCAATCGGGTGTATCGACCCAAAAGAGTTCATTAGTCAATAACGAACCTGCTTTCTTCAATAAATTCTCAATTGAAAACGGTAGTAACGCAGAAGCCATTTATGGATGATACTCGAACAAGTCGAGCTATTCGGATAATAGGAAGCTTAATATAACGATTGAATAGTTTTGAGAGGATGAACGATCAGTTTCATGTGGGCTATCATTGATGATGGTGCTTAGTGGATACTGTAATCAGATGACAAAGTTCAGTGAGGCTGAGAACACAGCAATAATTAATGAGCTGATTATCAAGGTAGGAGCACGCAGATAGCTTGAAGTTATTTATGTATTTCAAGATTTAGCGCTGGAACGGAACGGCTGCAACAGCCTTTTCAGTTGCTGCAGTAACTGCTCAGTTTCTTAGCTGCTCAACAGAGAATCGAACAGATAGGAGGAACAAACGAAGGTTACGGATTATGCGACTCAAAGCACACAGACAGCACCACGCCCAACGGCTGGCTTCCAAAAATGCTCCACCCATATTTGGCTGATGTATTTTTACGAGGTGTTTAAAGTTGAATCTCATCATCGACATCATGATCGCACTACTTTCCATATCTTTCAATCAGCTCTTCATGAATAATGTGTGAGTCGTTCTAGCTATCACCATCTATCCAACACAGTTATTATACAAGTTATTTCAATTCAGCTATATTCTCAATGTATCCATTTTAATGTCGCCGTCAGTGGCTGATCGCTTGCTTGCTCGGTGGGTGGATCCACCAAAATATCGCGCACCCTTACTCTGTTATCCACCAATCAGAATCGAATCTCTACCGTATACTTGCCAGTTTGTTTTTCTTTCCCTCTCTCTATCTCTCTCTCTCTCTCTTGCACACACTAATAATTATGTCGAAATGTGTCATCTGCAATTAATACATACTTGACCTTAATCGGTCTTCTTAATGCGTCGTTCGCTCAGAACAATTTCCGCTCAAATGGCCGTGCTAATTTATTAATTTTTAACAGTTTTGTTAATATGTATACAAGTTTATTGTATCGCTGTTCCTCTCAATATCGCATATAACATTCTTAACAATTATTGTTCAATCGGTAGAGTATTTGTATAAGCGGATTTAATTGCGGCGTTTTTATACACATTCGTACAAAAATATGAAATTTTCATGACCCTGATGCAAAACTGTTCATATGTTAAGCTTTGAAAACGTTAGTTTGAAAACGTTTTTCGACTGATTACTTCATGAAGTGATGAAACAGCACTAAACAACACGAATAGCCGATAGTTGACATAAGTGAATGATATTCCTACTGCTAGCACCTAAATTACCTGACTGTTATCGTTTTTCACTTGAACAGTTCTTTTATAGATTTTATTCACAAATCGAAATTAAAAATCCAAACGAATAAAATTCATCCATGAATTTGTGGTGAAAAAAGAGAGAGATGATGGGCGGAAGGGGAGGAGGGGGGAAATTGTGCGAAACAATAAATAAATTAGACCAAAGTGCTCATAATCGGCATAAGATGTGAAGTTTAACGAGGATAAGAGGTGTAAAGCTGCTACTGCTGGTTTGGATGCTCTAAGAAGTTAAGACTCTTAATACGCTTCTAATGGCAACAGTTGATCACATTCACTAAACAACTAATATGAAGTGAGTGTGAACTGAAGTGAACAAGACGCAACCAAATACTCATCCGGATTATCTCGCACTTCACTGTGTTTACGATAGGCATTCTTCGAGAATCAATAAATGCACCCGTATACAGATGATGCATTACTCTTGTGCTTAAGATTACATATTTAGATGATCGATGTGATCAAGAAGTTATATTCTTTCGTCAACAATTCATGAAAGAAAAACATAACTTGTGCATTCACGTCTTCTTTTATGAAAACTTTAGTACAGCTAAAACTATTTTAAACAACTAATGCAATACGACGACATCAAAAATACAAATAACAAGCATAGAATCTAAACAAGAAAAAGATTAGTAACCAAATATAATGAATCGAATAACTTTTGAGAAGTACCATGAATCCAGAAAGTGAAGATTAAACACTATCAATAACTAAATAAATAACAAAACACATCGCATCAAAAATAAACATATCGAATGAATACAATAAATCGATTAATAAATAAATGAATAAAATTTTTCAAAAACAAATCGCCGTAATCCATTATAGCCGCTAAAAACAGGTGTTTTGACAAGAATTATCCCATAATTTTAGTGAATTATCGACAGAACTGTAAAATTCAACGAATACTTCTACCACCACCATATACCAACGACTGATCACCGAAACAACGAACAAACAAACAGCAATCAGCAAATAACATCAAATAAATAACACACCACCCAAAATGAAACTTATCAACATTGCAAATAATCATTATCTGGAATACGACGAGGCTTTCAAACAATCAAAGCAATAAACAGCATTACCATTATTATTATTCGTATTAATATTAATAAGAGTATTCGTATTAGTATTAATAACAGTATCAGTGTTAATAACGTTATTATTGTTACTAGTATTATTATTGCTATTATCAGAGCACTGAATTGTGAACGAGAAAAGGACATTGTGGCAGTGAAGGCTATGAGGTGAAGATTGGTAAAATGTAATGCCAGTTAAATTCGAGCAATAATAATGATTATTGTTATAACAATAATAATAATAGTAATAGTAAAAATAATAATCAAACAATATGAAATAACCATTTGAAAGAGGTGAACATTGAGAGAATGAATGAACAACATGCATGGCGATCAGCTTTGAAAAATTGGATAAAAAGACTTTGACAATTTTAAAAAACAGAAGAATCAATTTGGACGTTCAAATGAAAATAAACAACGACGACAAAACAACAAAGAAGTAAAAAGCAACAGCAAAAGCACAACAAATAGCAATAGCTCAATTAAATCACATCTCAACAAATAATAGTCAATTAACAACATTCATCATGTTCATTTATTGGAACATTGAAATATTCATTGAAATCCCTGAGAAAATAAACGATAATCGTATTTAGTATAATGAAACGAAACGAATCACAACAACGAAAATCAATCTTTAGCACAAATTATGAATTAATAATGGCGATAATCATTATCTTTCTTCTGATACAAGTTGGTTTGATTTCAACATGAATCGACTGAACTAAATTCATAAAAAATTAATAAATAAATAAGCCATTCAAGGAATATCTATCATCACAACTGAAGATCGAATAGCGCAAACAAAACAGCTATTAGATCGATACATCGTACTTGCTCGAGAAAATTCCCTCAGCTGGGATTCATCCTTTCATCGACGACATACGATACATGAATTAACAAATTATGCTGCATTTTGAATAAAGGAAATTAAAAGGCAAAAAATATTAGTGAAAATAAATTATAAGTGCGTCGGTGAAATTTTGAGATGACAAGTGAGAAACCGATCGATTATTTGTTTTTTTAATTGTTTTTTGTTAACAAAATCAAATTTTTTTTGGTTTTTTGATAAGTTCAAGAAAATCAAAAAGTAGATGATCTCAAATAAATAATAACAATAAGAAAAAAGCAAATGGTATATGACAAGCGAGCAATAAATGAATAGATAATTTAAAGAATGATCAAACAAACAATTAATTAATTAAACAAAAGCACAACGATCATTACGCTAAGGCAAACGATTACATCATTTCGACAGTATATCACAATTGCCAATAAAAATAATTTGAGATGAAAAAAACAGAAATATTCAAATCGAAACGAACGAATAAATGAAAAAAATAAACTCAAATGCTTTAGTGTGATGGAAATGTCACCGAATAAAAACAACAATAACAATAACAACAACAAAAACAATAAGTGTGATAATAACAATAATACTATTTTAAAATGACATTGCTACCAGTCTACCACATCTAATCGTCTATTGAACAAGTTAGGCAAAATCGAAAACATCTGAGCACCACCGTGGATTAGTAAATAAAGAAACCATCGAAGGAATAAACAAACGAATGAATATAACCCAAAACAAATCATAATGGCAAAAACAAGCACAACGTCAACAACAATGAATAAACATTAGCACTGCGTGCAAATTAAATTCCAAGTCAAAACATCTACGAACAACACTGATCACATCACCTCAGTCAGTCGAACCAAAAACGTCGACTTCAACTTGATAGCAACATACTGCATAAAGAGAATGATGAAAATTCGTTCATGAGATGGCATCAGACATGAGATGCTTTCAGAGCTCATTCAATACTATCTATCATTACAATATGAAGCTTGACTCTTCGAAGACATTTGAAATTTCCAAATTTTGGACCACTGAAAACCACTAGCAATTTTTAGATCATAGAAATGAAGAGAAGATCGCATAGTCAACAAATTTTAAAAGAGACGTCCCAAAATTCGACTGGGCTAGACTAAAAATTATAATCACGGTTTGAATTTTTCAAAATTTCTGGAATTCTTCTTCAGTTACTATTCACCGCAATAATTCCTCATTCAATATTATTGATTTTTTCCAAATACGAAGGTTAACTTATGTGTATGAACAGATATATAATCGAGAAATTCTCGAGAGTGCAAAACTCTGGACCACATGCTTTTTTCAAGCCAAACGATAGTTTAGCGACGTTTTTCAGAGCACTAAGGCGAAATGTGCATTGGCTAAGATTTGAGTTTACAAATGTGTGCTTTAATCTCAAGACTAAGCTGAGATACATTCCAGACTTATGGATAATTACAATTATGAATGATGCACCGACGCAATTTTGCGAGGCCGATAAAAACAAAAAACAGTAACAAATATGACGTGAGAACAACAAAATGAGGATAATAATGAAACAATAAATGACGAGATGAGAATATATGCGGATGAATATAAATAAATTGAAAGATCGATGGCATTTGAATTTGTACGATTAATCGAAATTAATAAATGAACAGACGTTAACTAAGAATGTATTTTAGTTTTTTTTGGTTATTTATCAATTTGAAGTGATATACGTAGAGTTGATAAGTTGACGAATGAAATGGCCGGTAAAGTTATTTTACCCGCCGTCTTAATCGTATAGAATATAAATGTGGGTATGCGATTGAACACGGTGCACGATTGAGTTTGACTCGACTTGACTCGTTTGAATGATGATGATGAAACAATAAGAAATTAAATCCAAAAGTGACTTGAAACGGACAAATCAATAAACTGACAACGAAAGACAACGGCAAACGGATCATATATTATCACAACAAATCATAAAACTTCTCAATAACCAATCAGAGATTAACAATAAAAATTCATTTTTTCATTTTCAAAAACAAGGATGACAACAGCAACAATTATAGCGACAGCAGTAATCGGCGAATAAATTTTCACTCGCAATAAACAATTACAATAAAACAAATTTTGAAAAAAAATGAAATTTACAAATTGAGTGCCGAGAATTGATGAGCTGTGGTAGTCAAATCGAACGAGTGAAACGGATTGTATAAACGTTCATGCACCTCTTCATCTTCATCCTTCAAGATTGATTCAATGAAAGCATTTATTCACTGAACGATAATGAATGTTTAAAGCAAACCTCATGATTATCAGATCTATTCTGCACAGCCACTCGATTACTTCCGATCTGTTCTCGATCCACTCCCATCATCATCATCGTCGCATTCTTCGATGGTGACACACCACCACCCATCAATGCACCACCACACGCACAACAACAACGTGTTTTCATATATGAAAAAACATTCATTCGTTACTTTTTCATCACAAAAAAACACTTTTCACCACAAAATTGCCACAGCAAGTAACATCAAACAAATAATCAATACCAGCAACTGCAAAATTATTATTTCAAACCAACCATCATCAGGCCCACATGAAGTATCGACCATCTGAGGTTGAGATTTACGATCGGGAACAGGAGGTGCAGGCGGATTTTTTAGGATACTGCTACTTACACAAAAGTTTTCATCGGTTTGTGTTGCAACACTGCTAACCATCAACTTATTGATCACTTGCTGTTGTTGTTGTTGTTGCATAAACAAGCCACAAACAGAAGACGTTTGAGAGGAGTTGCTACTGATGCCGCTTAATTGTGGTGAGCATGACTGCCGCATTACTCCACCTTCAACACAACATGAATTGATTAATTATACCAATTAAACAATTCACTCATTTATTCACTTCGTTTTTCTTCTTAGCAAAAGAAACAAAACTTTCAGATTTATAAGTGCACGACACATATTCCTTTAAAACGTATAATGAACCAATAGCCTGAAGCACTGCTCAAAACAATTTTATAATGACACAAATATAAACATAAATCAATCGGCTGGCATTACTCGAAACACTTAAATGACGAAGGAATATATCAACAGCAATATCAAACCAACCAGTATTATTATTCGCACTATTAGAAATGTTTGTACAATTGAACTGCTGTTGTCGGTTGTTGTTGCTATTACTAGTCGCATTCGCGACAGTAGTAGTTGCATTAGTATTGTTATTATTATTACTATTATTGCTCCAGAACGATGAATGGGATGTGGTGCTTTGATGAGCCGTAGTTGTAGGTGCTGTTACAGCTGCTGCAGCACCAGCGTTACGAACAGCTTGAGCTAGTGATGACCATACTACAGCTGCATTTTCGTTAGTCTTCGCGTTCGGCTCCAGAGTGCCAATTCCCGCTGTAGAGCCGGACAGAGCCGATATGGCAGGTGGCCATGCTGCTCCGGTTGCAGCAGATGGTGGTCCTGGCGGAGCACCGGCAGCCACCATTTGAACACGAGCATTATTGAGAGCCGACCGCGAAGCGACAACGACCATATGAAAACAAAGACAAACGTATTATGAGAATATAACGAATGATGATCAGAAGCAAGCTTCGATGAATGATGACGAGTCAACAAACATCAGGCAGGTAATAATGTTGTAAAGGATAAAAAACTGATATTAAGAACCTGAGTGGTTGTTGCTAAAGACTGCTGTTGATTGTTTGCAGTTGTTATCGATGAAGCGGCAGCATTTATGGGCGGTGGTAACATCAACGGTGTAGCAGTTCGTAATTGAGCTGATGATGAAGACGAGTTACTGATATGTGCACTTGCTGGTAGCAATTTAACCGACTGAGGTGCTTGTACGGAATGATGAGCAGCGTGATGAGGTGCTGATGCTGGTGGCGCAGATTGTGGTGGCGGTTGTGATGATATATGACGACTCATAATCAATTCACAATCAGGAAAATTCTAAACTGATAAACGAATGAATCCATTTGGAATCATGAAAACAAAATCAAGTTGCAAAAACTGAATTTTGATTGTTGTTCAATAAAATTTTCGTTTTTAGACAATAAAGAAATGAAATATAAATTGGGTAATTGGAGACCAATGGAAAAATGAAGATTTATGGAACCTGATTCAAGAAGGCACAATAGTCATAATGTGGCAAATTACGTCGAACTGAAACAAAATTCCTCGCTGGAAATAAGGCGAATATCCACGGATGTGAAGTGATAAGTGACAAAAAGGCTGCGCGACCTGCAATGAAAATGAAAGACACCAATAGTAAGGAAGTTGCTGCCCTTTTCGAGTTGAACCTTTAAAAACTGGGTGAAAATGATAAGTGAAGAATGAAAAGAATTACTAACCATCACCGATCATTTCACGAGCTTCAATAATAATTTCAGGACATGAAGTGAAATAGTCGAAAAGTGACTGCGTTGAAGTGACACCACCACGACGTAACAAATAACGTGCTAATAATACAACCGCTTGGTAAATACCACCAGCTTGAAGGTATACCTGATCAGCACTGGTCATTATGAACAAGTGTGTACGTCTTTCCAAATACTGTCGACGTTTCAAACTGCTCGTTCCCACGTAACGATACAACTCTTCATCACCACAGTTACTGATTTGACTATGTAAACTGCAATTGAACACAGTTCGATTATTCGATGTGCTAAACTAATTGATCAATCAGTATCATCTAACAATGTACCTTGACAGTTGACAATGCGGTAGGGCATGTCGTTGAAAGATTGATAGAAGCATCGGAATGGCTCTCAATTCCAACTCGATCGAATACATATCCTTGGCTAGACGTGGTGGTCCGCTAGTCTGACTTGCTGCAGCTGCCTCTAGATCAACTTCGGAGGCACCGAAAAACTCCTTGTCTGCTTCCTGAAGATCAACGGAATGAACATCATCAAAAAATGAAACAAACAAACAAATGAATGAATGAATGAACACATAAAACATGTAAAATGAACAAATTAAGCAATTTATTCTGACGAAGCTATGTAGAGGTGAGACGTGCGTTGCGATCCAATCGTTACTTTCACTCGAAATTGCTTGAAAGCTCAGTGTGAAACCGGGTCTGAGAACAGCCGTCAAATCGGAAACTCCTTGGTCACAAAAGTCTTTCAATTGGAACGACACAGTGAATTTATTGGCTTTAGCCGTGATGAGACCGGCTTTTGAGGAAAGCCACGTGAGAATACCAACACCGGAGATCAACTCGCTGCTCGGTGACGACATCGTTTCTGCACCCAACGAACAACTCGGGCGTATCTGCAAGTAACTTCGTCGAATGCAACAATTGTCAGTCAATCGTTATAAACATCCATCAATACTTAGAATTATTTATGTTATGACAACGTGATTGCTGCAATACAATTCTCTGAAACGTTCCCTAATTTGAACACAACTTCGAGAGGTGAAATTAATGAACCTTTATCAATCATACTTCCGAAAAACATGATCAATTGTGTACGAATATGATGGTTATGAAAATAATGGCATCACTTCTCCTCACGGAAAACAAAAGCTTAATTTGATCAATCCACTTTTTCAACTCTCCACTTTTAAGTGCACAAAAGCTTGTCGCATAGAATCTATTCAAAAACGATTGCATAACAACCTGAGGTCTATACACGTTCGGCATTTGCATGATAGGATCCATGTTATTGAGCATATGATGAAGCGGATGATGAGCATGAGCATGACGCATAAGATGTTGTGATCGATTGCTATTACTCAATTCCAAATTGTTTGCAAATCCACCAGCTAAATTCATTGTTGTGTTATTGCTGTTTGCCGTACCATTACCATATTGCATAGCACCAGCATTCAGTGAATTTCCTCTTGCGAATATTGTCTCGTTTAAACAGCCTTGTTGTTGTTGTTGTTGTTGTTGTTGTCGGTGTTGCATACCTGTCGTCGTTATTTCATGATGAAGTGCCCCGCTACCTCCGATTCCCGCTCCTGGCGTCCAGATACCTCCAAAATTAACTTTTCTTGTTTATGATCATATTATTACTGTAATTATGAATTAACAATAATGACCATGATAATAACCTTGAGTGAAAAGTGATCCATTATGAACCTCATAAGCCATTTCGTCTGAATAAGATATCTTGTTTGCTATGAGTCGTTGTATTCAGTTAAGATTTGATGATCTTCTTGAAGGAGGCGAAGAAACAATGGATGATGAATGCAGATAACGTTTTTTTGGATGTTGTTCCTTTATTTGATAATATAATTCTGTCTTTGTAATTATTATTATCGTTCGCAAGATTCGCATACACTCGCACACACACTCACTTCAACCTTAACTCAGTCAGATTAAATGAGTGAGCTCGTTCTTAATAACCTAAACACCATCTCATTAACAACTCTCGTGCTCCTCGTACATTCCACATAAGAAATAATAATAATCAACCATCCAACATTGATCGTTCATCACTTAACTCTACGCTATTTTACAACCAATCAAGCGATTCACATCCATCACAACAATATCAAAAATACATCGAAGAATTCTATAAAATTACGCCAAATCTTATCATCTTCGAAGCGTTTCATATTTTTGACATCCCGGAGTACAGGAAACAAATAAATGATCGAACAAATTAGTTTGAAAATTTAAAAAGTTCAACTTCCCAATAATTCAAGTCTGCTATCTAACTCAAAATGATCATTTGAATTAAACATGCATATTATATGCGTGCATTTCTCAGCTAAACAAGTAAATTCACAGAAATCTTTTCATTATCTGAAAAATCGTTCCGCTGAAAAACAACCGAACATGCGAAGCGAATAAAGAAACTAAATAACGACAAAACTAGATAAACTAATTTTAAAAATAGTTAGTCAATGATTCGTTTACAAACACATTCCTTCGACAAGAAACCCTTTCATTAATCATCGGTATTAGTCGAGTTATGCAAACAGAACACATAAACAACAAGAATGTTTCTGATGCAGCGATGCATTTTGACGTTGAGACGAATAATGAAGTATAAAATGTCGGAATGAAGTTGTACTAGGTAAGCGATTCGAATTTTGTACGTGTATGTATACTGTTGAGTAGAACAACTATAAATCGATGAGATTTCTGAGGAGATTAAACGGTCACCTTGTGCTGATGGTGGCAGTGAATGCACTAGGGAATGCCGATTTCAATTGCATGATGGTGTTTGCAGTTAGGAACGGAACTAATGCTGCTGGATTTTATGAGCACGCTTTGTTTGAGTTTATCATTGAGTAATGGGGCGATTCTCTCCAAGCATTGTTCGCTTTGTGTGACCGTCGATGAGCACTTAATATATCATTTTGAATGCAAGAAACCAATCCTATCCATTTGCGTGCATCAAACAGTATCGTTTTTATTAGCAATCATGTAACGAAACAACAACATAAAACAACAAACAGTTATGATAACAATGAGTAAAATATTTATAAAAGTCATGATCATGTGAACATTTTGTGCAGTTTTGCACGTCTAAAATCAATTAAAGGCAATAAATTGAGATGGCCGATCGTCATCACTGATATATGAAGAGAGGAATGTCGTGAAGAGGTGATATGAAGCATTGATGAGGGTCGAAGTCACTGATAAATAGCCGAGATCACCGACTGGTATTTCTCCTTGATTGCACGTCGTTTCAGTTTCAGCGCTTCCGTTAACAAGCCATCCGCCTGCAGCCAAACTTCACTGCACAAATGAATCTTTCGTGGAGTTTCCCATCGGCTGAGTTTACCTGAACAATTTCTTTTTGATTGATTGTTAAAGTTCAATTGAGAGGCTGAAAAAATGTTTGAATTTTTCGAAGTTTTCAGTCTAAAAAAAACGAAAGGAAACAACAAAAACCGAAAAACCTTTAACGTGCTTCTGTAATGCGTCAAGTACGTCGCTAATGATTCGGTCGTCTTTGCACAACATCTCAATATCATCATCTACAATTCCATGCTGAAAACAATGCTCCATTTCGTTTTATTTATTCGAGTTGAGCAATACTAGTGATTGGAATAGCAATAGTAAAGGCTATAAAAATACTTTCACAGATAAATGTCACTTACTTTCTTTGCAAGCGCTGTCAGAGATTGAACATTCGGTACAATGAAGGCAATTACATAATCCTTAAAAATACTTTAGATATAATGATGTACCAGCTAATAGTTTCATGAAATTGTAACAGCAACAGCAACAATAGAGGCCGTAGCGAGGAATGAACGAATTAATTGACTGACGTCTAGACATGAATATTAAACTGAATCAACTGCCATCACGTATTCCTGCTCACCTTAACTGGTTCACCATAAACGCAAATATTGTCGACGTATTTGTTGTCTCGAAGTGCCGTCTCAACCCGAGCCAGTGAAACGTACTCACCGTGTGATAACTTCACAAGATCCTTCTTACGATCTCAATAACAACATCCGATTAGAACGAAATACATCAACATTTTATTCAAATTAATATGCACCGTAGAATCATTCATTTCAAAACAATCATTCAAACGAAGAAGGTCAGTTTCTCTATGACCTTCAAATTACATTTAAATCAACAAACCAATGATAGTCAACGAGCCATCACTTCGAAATTCACCAATATCTCCAGTAACAAACCACCGACGTCCATTCAATTCAAAAAAATCTTCAGCTGTCTTCGCTTCATTCTTATAATAGCCAAGTGCTATGTTCGCACCGCCAATAAGTACCTCTCCTTGAGGAGTTTTGTTCAACGGCGAATATCCACCTTGATAATACGAACAATAACAATCTTGTATGTATCACAATAGCTACTTCTTAGTACTGCTTTTATATGAAACAACATTCTATCAGGGAGAAGCTTAAGGTTATCAAAGTGAAATTTGTATCATCAAGCCCCCACCTTCTTTCCACTCACGCAGCATAATATCACAGCATCGAATTGGTACGCCTGCCATATCCGTACTAATATCGTCCACTAAATTACACCTTTATTATGAAACATTGCAGATAAAACAAATAGTTTTGCTGAGATTGCGCAAACAACAAAACTACGAACGGTCGCAAATAGTGCCTCCACCGCAAGTTTCGGTTAGTCCATAGGCTTGTATAATCGGACAGAAGCAGATTTGCATGAAGCGTTGCGTTTCTGGATTCAGCGGTGCACCTCCACTGAGCATTTCACGCATTCGACCACCCAACAGAGCACGTATCTTATTGAATATTAGCCTGAATTGAGTTGTGCTTAACATTCCCAACAAGCCCTACATTTGGTAAATTCAAATGATATTTGATTGACACACCAATATCATTACCCATCTATGACAAACACATTAACAAAAACAACCGTGAAAATGAACAATAACCGAACCTATCCAATATGGGGCACGATCGCCCTTGTTCATAATGACTTTTTTTGCGCTCATAACATAACCGGAACAATTCTTGCTTCATCGGTGAAGCTTGTGCAATCTTTGACAGCACACCTTTTACGATTCGATCGAAAACTGCCTAAAATTGCTTTCTACCCAAATTTACGTTTCCCCAAATCAATAAAACAGTTGCTTGGGTCTGTATTTCATACGATTTTCTCATTGATTTTCAATTTCTTTGTGGTAGTGGAGGCGATTTTCACTCGAACGTGTTACTGGTGAACGATATGAATAATATAACCGATGAAATGTTGTGAGCAAATGAATTTTTAAAGAGGCACAAACAACATCAAGGTGAGGGTACCAGTAGGCAAGCGATTTTCACACGTTTGAGACGTTTGCGAGCGAATCATGCTTGGGCAGGACAGCAGAAAGTTATAACGGAAGAACGCGCTACTTTAAGATAAGACTGCATCAGGATTTTGCGAGTGACTAGCAATTTTGTTGTGATTCGTTGACCGAATAAGAAGAGCATCATACCGGGACAGCTGACATTAAGGTTGGCCTCAGCACACTGCTGTCACCTTTCTGACCATCTTTCAGCTTGGCAGCACCATCGAAAAGTGTGAGTGGAGATGAAAAACCAATCTTACAACCATGAGTCAGAATCACCAATTGACAACACACTTCAATAATGTGTGCAAGTGGTAGATAACCTATATAAACGTCACTTGCTCTGCAAATACTTATCAATCATTCATTGGCTTTGCTTACTCATAACTGATTTTCTGGTTGGATATCATCATTATTATTTTTATTATGTTTATTGAGTTTTAGTTTTTTTATTATGAGTGATCGAAAAGTGTTTTCAATCATGAAATTTGCAACATAATGAAACAGAAATCGCAGTAACAGTAGCAGCAGGTATAATTAGAGTTGGAATATTAGAAAACGGCCAGGAGATCGTGAGTGACAGTAATGTTACATTACTAAAAGAAAGTATGCTTATGGATGATAGATTATTAACTTGATATCGATACAGGCATCTTGTCCGGCTGTAGCAGCGATGAGATTGCGATTCGATATCATTACACCTTTCGGGTTAGCCGTCGTTCCACTTGTGTACATGAATAGAGCCAAATCATCCGCTTGTGCCGTATAGTCAGTCATGTTAATGTCGGACTCGTCGATTTGTTCGCCTATCTCGATCAAATCTGCAAAAGGAAGCATACGAACGTTTGATGATTCTGCAGCTGACATCGGCACTTTTGTGATTGCTTCCGGATCTTGCGCCGAATAGTAGACGATCATCGAGATTGATGGACACTCGCTGAGTGCCTCGATAACCTTAAAACACTGCAGTTCATCACTCTTATTCCATTAACTGAATCGCAAATTGCAATGAAATCAATCATCTTCTATTATCACTACTACTCTTTCTCATCTAGCTATTGATATTATTGTAATCATTCTCAGTTGAGCACCTTTGGTAAAAGTGTAGCCGTTGTGAAAATAACATCTGTGTCACATTCGCGGATCGCATGTTTGAGTGCTTCTTCACCCAGAGTTGCGTAGATGGTAACGACTGCAAATGAAAGTTTTCATGTGCAATTCATAACATTATTACAGCTGAAATATATGTGAAATTGAATACACATTTACACTACAGTGTCGTTAAACACAACAATCGGCAATTGTCCTTACAATACAAATCAACTCGAATTTATTGAATCCATTCGATTGGTATTACAAACACCGAAACATATGCACACCCTAGCCATCAACGATTCACTAAAATCGCACTGTCTGCAGAAAACAACAATTATTAGCTATTAAATGAGGTTATTAGAAGAGCTTACTCGGGAAATTACATTTGTAACACGCTAACGCAGTGACCATCCATTCTTCACGAGTTTCCGAGTAGATAGCCACATGACTTTTGGGTTTTAATTGAGCATTTTTAATTAGACCTAAGATAAGATACATCATTGTATTCGCCAATTTTGTTGAAACACATGTAGATGATTCGAATTTCAGTTTTGAAAGTTTTTTCACAGTGCTAAGAGAATGGCAACAAAGTTCACTGAATCAACCTTTCGCAAGTGCACGAACACTCTTATCTACCTCTTTGAACGTCGTCCACTGATAGTCGCCAAGTTCCATCTGAAAGTTTTAAGTTGTTGCGTTTATTGGGTTGTATTCAGAGGAACGATGATTATGCATCATCAAATGATCTAAAACAAAATTAATTGACAAATCGAATGGTACGAAAATTTGCTGCGGAGAAGTGAGCCAGTGGTTGAATACCTTCTCAAAAACACGTCCATCTGGCTGTACATCTTTCGAGACCGAAAGCACCTCGCGAACGCCGAAACAGTCCAAGTCTGCATATCGACGAACAACTTCATCCCAAACCTGATCAACATTTATTAATATAGCTGATTCTGCAAACTGATAAACTGACTTTTAAGCAGCCAAATGAAACAGATGCATAAGAATAAATTCTTTGTGGAAGCTGAGGCTGCTGGAAACGTATTTCGAATCTCAACTACTCGACAGCACCGGATCGGAAACTTGTGATAATTTTGAGGACCTTTGCAAGTGTGTCGCATCCTGGGAAGATTGTATCCACAAGAGCATTACCGGTCCAACGCCATGGTGAATAAGGATCGCCCGGGATTAACTGAACTGCCTGTAACCATGCAAATCACTCAGCAACTGTTTTCTTCTTGGAGAACGCTAAACCAAACTGCGCCTTCAGTTAAAATCATCAGCATGCTTCCACCCAAAAATGTTTCATTATCAAATTTTCTGCAGTCCTATACAATAATCACATATTTCAATAAAATGCTGAGATGAATGTAGGATTGCCTATCTGAACATTGAGAAATGCTCACACACAGCAAACAAAAAATTACTGAATGGCTACACTTAATGCATACTTTGACTTTTTCAGCATCTCGAACGACTCTATTCGACTTTGTGAACAATTTCATTGGAAAATAACTGACTGCATCCGAAATGGCGAAAGAAATCTGAAAATAAACACAACCGTTATCAGTCCACTATTATTTACAAAAACATCGTATATGATTAGCAATGTATTGCAATTTCAAAAAGCACTGCACAAAAATTCAAAAATCACTGCACAAAAATCGCTCGCCTTGAAGATTGCCGAAGTGAAACGAATCATAATTGAGGCTAGCGTCATAGCATCGCTAACTGTTTCATCGGCCATAACCGCATCTTTGTCGGTGTTTTTTTGCTCGGTTTTCACTTCGTTCATCATCTTTTTTCACTTCGTCAATCTACTCAAAATTTTGCAAATTTCCAATCTAAAAACTGATCACATTTGAATGATTTTTGTAAATTTTTGAGCATCACCGACCCATTATCGCTCCCGACCGACAGAATGAATGAAAGAAATCTTTTGAAATTTGCTGTCGCGCAAATTGAACTGTTGTTCATGCTGATGATGCACATTAGGATTCCAGAAATCTGAACATTGATAACTCTGAATAGCATTCTATAAATCAGTTGGCACCACTCGCCAACAAAGCTGGTTCGTGGGCAATTGACTGTTGGGCAATGAACACCTACACCTACAATGCGAATAGTGAAAAAATTTGATCAATGAAACAAAATCGATTTGATGATAGTCATTGGAGAGATACTAACAGAACTGCTTGGACGACTCGTTAGAATATGATCTATCAATTGATACTTTCATATATCGAATCATCATCGTCCGAATGGTCAACTAATTACTGACATAGTCACAATCAGCTGCCATTTACACCGAAACAGTTATCATTTTATGTTACTTTTGATCATTTTATGTTACTTTTGATCAATGATCACAACCGATTGTAACGAGGACAGAAAATTATTAGAATTTTAACTGATAGGTATGAAGATGAAAACAAAAATAAAACGAGGCTAAGATGTAAAAGCTGACATTGTCAATGAGCATGAAAGGTAACTTATGAGCAATCGTATTTCATCAGATGTTCTCGAAAAATTACATAGATCCTTACAAAAAACATATCCAATCCTCAATACTATTATCATTAATATTACTATTTGCAATATTTTGATCATTATTTTGGCAGTTTTGAGGATAGATATTGCATAAGGATACAAACTCGAAATTCTGGAATAGAATCGAACTGTGTAATTGGCGAGAATTACAAAGACTCGTTAACATATGAGAGATTAACACATCGGATGAAGATGATATTGTGGTAAAAGAAGCAATTCAATTAGGTAAAAAATATATGGTTGGCGATTGGGCAAACAAACAGACGCAAACAAACAGTGAATGTCCACTGGATGAATGAGAGATCGAATTCAGATTTGCTGATTAACGGTAAGACAGTTATGTGTATTATAAAATATATAAGAAGTAAATAATGCTGTCCTTGACCTGTGAATTGGACACATATGTGTAGTAATTCTTGATGTTGCATAATTTCTATGTTTATACGTGGAAAATGCAGAGTACTTGGAAAAGGTCATTAATGAAAAATAAGAAATTAATCTATTCGTAAAAAGTACGTGAATAGAAATGAACAAAAATAACATTATGTCAATCGTATTGATATTAAGTACATAATATTATGATATTACATTTTAATATTCTCTTACATTATTATATATACATTCAGAATATTATATATATTGTTGACGGATTTCACTTACTTCAAGAGATATAACTAATTTTATGATGATATGTCAAACTACTTGGGCCATTCTACAATGCCGCCGAACTCTACACGTTTGATCACTATACCGTGATCAATGACACAGTTCTGCAGGAATATCACGAGCACCATTTTCAAACTACCCGTACTCTCAAGTTTGCTCGGCAACACCATGATTTCTTGTCACCATCGGATTCAGCAGACTCTCAGCATTCAAAATATTATACATATATATA